ACGGTGTAGGAGTTCTGGTTCTTGTGTTGTGCCGCTCACTCTCTCCCACAGTTTGCTGCAGGCAGCAATCAGCTGATTAGCTGCACCTGTTCCCTGTCTGGAGGACTGCTCTGCCAGACTCTCCTCCAGTGATGGGACATTACCTTAGAACGGTAACGGTATGGTAATGTTCAGCCGTGTTGTCTTCTGACATTTTCTCCTACAACAAGCTTGAATGCTTTTTGTTTCCAGTGACTTCCGCGTCCTGCTTCAAACAACCTTCCTAGGCCTCAACTACCAGTCATCAACCTCCAGCCTGCTCTTGCTCTCTCTGCTCCCACAACAAACGAACTCCTCAACAAAAAGGAACTCACCTTCTCATCCTGTGGCAGACTCTTCAGGAACCAGGACTTCACATTGTGCTCCTCCAAAGATCCTGTTACAAGGAACTACCAGCAGGCTTATTCCTGTCTGCTTAAATGTCACCTCGTCTACGAGAGGACGGTCTGACTCACCTGGTCTCCCTTTTCCTTTGCAGCCCAACTCCCCTTTTCCTGAGAAAATAAACAGATTATTTTTGATAAACGCTGTGCCTGTTTTCCTTTATCGGTTCTGCCACCTGGGGTCCGATATGGATAAAACCATAACATACGGGCTCTTTGACAACTTTTCAGTTATGTGCAGCCCTGGTTTAGTTAGGTGGCATTGTATAATATAATTAGCCATTTCCATACATTGTCATTAAAAATATCAATATTTTAGTAAAAGGGCTTTTAGGAAATTGGTAATATGTCAAATCAAGGTGCTGTGTAGAAGTGTGCTCATAGCTTCAACTATAGACATTTTAAAACGGCTGTTTATAAGAATATCCTGCTGACTGGGCTACCACAGTTCACACAAACGGAGAATAAAACAAATAAATCACTTTTTAAACTCCATTTCTCAGATGTTTGTGAAGTCGCATAGTTTCTGCTGCTCTATGAGATGAGCCAGATGATGCAAGACACTCGGTTCATTTAAGCAGTTTTTTTAAATAAACACACAAAACATTGAGCAGCACGGTGGCGCAACTGGTAGAGCTGCTGCCTCTCAGCGAGAAGGTCCTTGGTTCAAACCCCGGTCCAGGGGCCTTTCTGGGTGGAGTTTGCATGTTCTCTCCGTGCATGCGTGGGTTTTCTCCGGGTACTCCGGTTTCCTCCCACAGACCAAAAACATGCATGTTAGGCTGATTGGTAACTCTAAATTGTCCCTA